ATAATTTGGATGCATAAACTTTACCATAAAATCGTCATTCTCTTTATCAACTTCAGAAACCATTCCAAGCCAGTAAAAATTGTTGTATTTGCAAAATAGGACGATTTTTAATGGCTGTAACATCATAACATTCTCAATTTTATTATTTTCGTATTTTTGTTTATTGAGCAAGTCAAATGTTAGAGCAAAATCATCACCATCGGATACCCTTTTCATTTTTATAATTGAATGAGAAGAAGATATAAATTGATGGAAACTTCTTGTCCCAGGAATAGTGGTTGCTTTTAATATTGTCTATCAGCAAGTTTGATTTTTACTAGCTCCATTTCTTTAGCAGTGACGTACACAAACCTAATCCCACTGATTGACTTTATTCCATCACATGGAGATCTGCCATGGCTTGTTGCAAAGAAATTCCAGATGCACTGAACAGAAAAATCTTGAGCATGGTGACATAAATTGTAAAAATGTTTGCAGTTTTTATACTGCCCTGCACAGCCATCAGAAAAATAATGAATTTTTGTAATTGCGGGGCAAAGATAAGTTTTTATATGATTAATGATTTTATGCATAACTTTATTGATAAATCCAACATCATGACCTAAATCATCTGAAATTACACAAAAAGAAGATATTTCCAATTTCACTTTCTTGTAGTAGATGACAACTGGAAGAAGAGAACATTGACTCTTGCTCCAAAGGTAACTCTGTATCTTGTCTTGTACTACAAAAGTGTAATTTTTTGCAAAATCTGCCAGCATAATAGCCTCATCAATACTAATTATTTCTTTGAGATGCTTTAGATAGCTAGATTGTGATTTTGCTATAAATGAATGAGAAGTAATTTTATCAAGTTTTTCACACAGGAGCTCTATGAATTCATTTAATGGAAGTTGTGTTGTTAATAGTTTAGTTCTATTTGTCGTTGTCCACTGTTTGAAATTCACTGACTGTTCATTTTCGTCACTGTCATATTGCTCTTTTGGATCATAATTTTGTGTAAGATACTGCTGGAAATAAATTTGAGCAGCTTGTATGCCAGGACAACTATTGCATCAGTGAATCATGCAAACTTTTGATTTTCTGCTGCAGACAATCTTTTCAATGATTTCATGGTAAGATGTTTCAAGGCCTACAGCACTCAACATTAATTTAACATTTTGGTATATTGTACACACTCAAACAGAATGTGTACCTTTTGGACCAGCAAGGATGCACTGTTTAGGTCTAAGACTGCAAAATTTAAAAAATTAAATTTTATGGTCTGGGTACTTAATCTTATATGCCACATAGAGCTCCTTTAGATTACACATAATCAATTTTTTTGACATGTATTTTTTTTCCCCAACACTTATACAGTCTTTTTTACCTGGCATTTGCCTTGAATACTCATCGTCATAGTAAAAAAGCGTTACAAGTTCTATGACATCTTTACTGATTCGATGCCGTTCAAGCATATTGGGGTATGCAATGATGCCTTTTTGGTCACGTAAAAGCTTTGCATTTTTAATTTTGTGTTTGGAAACTGAAAATTATTTTGCTGCTTTTCTGATAGACCAAGATTTCGGTGTCAATGTCAAAATTGCTGTCTTCTGTTAGAAACTTCAAGTTTTTCTTTCATGCATTCAACAAGGAAATCTAGATCGCCAGCTTTGGTTTCAATTTCCTTTAGAACTTCATAGTAGTTAGGTGCAACAAGATCGGATTCGGTGACATCCAGAGCAGTTGCAAGTTTCTTAACAACTGCTTCTTCAACTTGCTTTATCTTTCTCTTTCCAAGTGAAGGCTTGTTAGAGGTTTTTGGTAAATGAACTTTTAGCAGACACTTCAAGTTTACACAAAGTACTGTTGAGCAATGATCTTGCTGATTCCAGCATAATTTCTTTTTCCATATTATCTTCAGTTAATTTTATCTTCAACTCGTTCTCTTCTGATTCTTTTGTAACTCACAAAATTTTCACAAAACAATACAACGTTCACACGTCCACATCTTGAATTTGCGGTCCAGGCATGGTCTCCATTTTTAAAACAAGACATAGACAAGATTGAGAAAATCCAAAAAAGAGCAACCAAACTAGCACCTACAATTAGGAAATTATCATATGAGGCTAGGTTGAATATTATGCAATTAACGTCACTGGAAGAACATAGACTACGTGGAGATCTGATTCAACAATATAAAATTCAGCATGGCCACGATAAAATAAATTGGGTTGCTAACGATTGTGGAAATGCATTGGAGGAGGGTCCATGTCTGCGACAACACAAATTCAAAATGAGGAAGCCTTTTAGCAGAAATACCTTCAGGTATCATTTTTTCCAAAATCGAGTTGTAAATGCGTGGAACAGCTTACCATCTGAAATAATAGAAGCTACTTCAATAAATAACTTCAAAAACAAACTAGACAGAGCTGGATTTTGCAGAAACTATTTGTTAAAACACAAACAAAAGACAAAATGAGCTGTTACAGTGCAATATCTTATGTTATTGCACTTCGCAACTGTTTAAAACAGTTGTTACAGTTATACCTTATTATTATTATTATTATTATAAAAGTTGTGATTATTATAAATACCTTTTATAACTTTGTTATGAGTATTAAATGGATTGCAGCACTGTGTTAATTTAGTTGCATAACGCTTCAAATATACATGTTTATGATGTAGACAAGTTGTTGGTTTTACATTGATTATTGAGAGCCCAGTCCTCCACATTAATATTTCTCTTTCATACTCAGGAATATCTTCAAAAGGTTCGATTCCAAGCAACGATGTATATGTTGCAAGATGACATTCACGCCCTAGCTTGATTTTAATGGAGCACTGTTGGCTGTTTGCCATGACTAAGAAACTGAATTACTAAATTCTCTAATTATTTAATCTAAAATTAAAATAATTTTAAGTTTATGGTTACTGGTGTTTCAAACCTATATTTATATAACATATCTGACATCACAAATCTATATTTATACATCACAGCAGGCATTGCAAAACTATTTTTTTAAATGACAATTCACTTCACAAAATATTTATTATATATAAAAACCTACCTCAATAAACTCTTTTTACACATCACAACTGAACCCATGAGAGTCTTGTGATCAGGAAACTTGTGAAAACCTTACCTCTTTTTAT